GGGGAGGGGGGTGCATGTCAGAAATCTAAACCTAAGTCAGCCACGCTTATGGGAAATGCCTCTGAAGGAAAGCAGAGTTTGCCACCCCAAAATATGTCTTTTGGAATATTTTGGAATTATTTTAAGCCAGTTATTTTCAAGGAAAAAAAAAAAAGACTCAGGAAAAACCTTTGAACTCCCCTCTTACTGCCAGAAAGAATTTACATAGAGAACTTCCTCCAGCAAGGGAGATATAATCATAGATAACTACAGTTTAATATGAATTAGTGTGTGATGCACAGGAAGGAACCTAGCAAGGCCAGTTTGATCAAAGTCCTCTCTGAGTCACATTGTTAAATATCTTTTTAACATTTATTTACCCATCAAACATTTACTTACCAAACATTTGCTTTTCTATCTCCATGTGAACTGCCTCTCTCCCCTCTGAAGTCCTAAACTACAACCCTCATATTCATATGGAACCCCAGTATGTACATACATAATAGATTTAGTCATTTTATCCTGCTAATCTGTCTCATGTCAATTTGATTACTAGTCCAGCCAGAAAAATTTAGAAGGGTAGAAAGAAAATTAATTTTTCTGTCCCACACTTCTCTGTCAAGGAAACCTAACCCATACCAATCACACTCCTCTAACTCAGCTTTAGCTAATTTACCTTACCCTAGAAAATAAGATGTGCTAGCCTTATTAGGAAATACTCAGCTCCCTAGCCAATCATGCCCTGTTCCTTTGTTGCCTCTTCTAATGCTCTACAAAACTCTCTCGTCAAAATTCCCTCAGGAAGAGTGCTCCACTGCTTGCTAGGCTCTGTAATCCCCTAATCCATGAATTGTTGTCCCTTGAGTAAAGGACTTCAAACTCATTACTAAAGTGTATTATTTTTTTTCATTTGATAGTATGCTCTTGTAATATTATGCAATTATAGGAAATAAATATTAATAAGGTAATAATTATATTATGTAATATATTTATATAAAAAGACAATGTTCTATTTTTCTAAGTATCCAAGTCAATTTCTTATACTTTGGACTATGAAAAGCTGAAAGAAATTGAATGTTTTGAAGTCCTTAGGCCCCACTGCAGGATTTCTAATTGTTGAAGAATTCTTTGCAGCTGAATGATTCCTAAGAATATTCTGTCAGGCAAGAAATGTAACACTTAATCCTCAAAGTGTAAAATTGAGTTTCACTGCTAAATAACTTAAATGACAACCCATGTTTTAAGAGGTAGTGTGTGATATATCTCACAGAATGACCTTCTGCACATGCACTAATATGGTGAGATTAGAACTGAATGTATTATTCAACTTTCATGTGCCTGTTCTACAGACATGCTCACACATGAGTGAAGTGGACACTACATCGTGAAGAGTGCGGCAGTACCCAGTGGGTGAGGTATCATTAGTAGCTGAAACTAGAATATCCTTGAAGACACAAATAAATGCTTAGTGGGTTTTAAGCTAACTAGTACTTATCTCTAATTGCTTTTGAGAACGGGGAAAACCTTAGAAGAGGTCACACACAGTGAAAATGCAGATTTGGTCCTTCTTCCTCACCTTCTTAAGTTTGTTTGAGAGTTTTTACCTGATGATGACAAGGTTGCTTGACCCAATGATCACTTAAAACAGGGGTTCCCAACTTGTCTGCATACTGGAATCGGCTGGAGAACTTAAAAAATACTGAAGCTTGTATCCCACTCAAAAACTTATGATTGAATTGTACTGGGGTATGACCTGAGCTTTGGAATTTTTATAAGATCCCTGAGTGATTCTAATATGCACACTAATTTGAGAACCACATTTTAAGATAAGTTTCAGTTCTATGTCTATGCTTAAGAAAACTATCTAGAGACATCCTGAGGGTACCAAAGTTTTGTCATCCCAAAATGTGTCTTTTGTGATACTGATTTTAAGGTGCTTATTAAGAAACAAAAGACTCAGAAAGAAACTGTGACCCTCCCTCTTTATGCCTAAAGAAATTCAGGTTAAAAACCTGCTTCAAAAAGGGAACCTCAGTATATTCACTTTAGCAATATTCACCTTAGCACATATGAATTAGCACATATGTGGCAGACAGGAAGAAATCTAGCAAAGTCTCTTTCCTTTTGTGTCCCACTATTTCCAGGTAGCCCAGCAAAAATTTGTTGACCATATGTTTGCTCTTTCTCCTACCTGTTAATTACATACTTCCTTTGGAATCCCAGACCCCTGCCCCATTTCTCCGTTGTCCGGAATAGCACATATGCCTCAACTGCTCAATGCATTTTAGGTCTCATATCTTATGATATGCCTGGCATGTACATCTATAGTAATAAATCTTGAATATTTTCTCCTGTTAATCTGTCTATATTAATTTGATTATTAGCCTAGATAGAACTTAGAAGGTAGGAATAAAGTTATATTTTTTGTGTCCCACCCCTCAAATCCTAAATCTAAAACAGACCATTACTCAGGACTTATAAAAAATACTTAGGAGTGAAGAGTGAGTGTGGGGTGGAAGGGGTCAAGGGGAAAAAAGAACATCTGTAATATTTTGAACAGAAAAAAAAAGATTTTAATAAAAATAAATTAATTAAAAATAAAAACAAAAATACTTAGGAAAATAAAAGGAAATATATGCCATTATAAAACAAGACAGAATTGATACTGCTGTAATTAGCTAGCTATTAATAACAGGAAAGGAGCAAAGGGAAGGCCAGATATTACAGGCATGTCATTTAGACAGCTTCACCAGGAAGCTACAACTTTACACTCCCCAGGGGTTCAATAAAGAGGTGATAGACGCATGCCCAGTAAAGTTGGGATGACTAGGGAAGGTGCCTGGGAACAAAGATCTTTGTCCAGAATGGGTGTGGCCAATACAAGCTTGTGGAAATTTGGAATACTTAATTCCCTGAATAAAGAAACTCATCTCTTGTACTCTGGGCTCTCTTAAGACTTGTGTGACTTTGGGCTTGTCAGGCTCTTTTGCTCCTGCTTCCCTGCATTCACGCACAGCCACGTGGACCCTACACACAATGGACTAATGGACTGTAATTAGCTTGATGCTAAACTGGACCCAGCTCCAACATAGAAAGGAAACTCTGGACACTGGCTTTGATTTTCGCTTTACTGAATCCCCAGCTACACTTCTTTTATGACTGGACAAAGGGAAATGGGACTTTGGAAGCCCAGAGAATTAATTCAACACAAATAAAAATCACTCATTCTCCTGTGTGTCTCAGAAAATTCTTTTTCTTGGGATATGGTAAGAATTCCATCCCCAGCAGCATCCAGTGGGAAGGAGGACCCCCACTTTGTTCAGTATCAGAATTATGAAAAAAATTTCAATTTGTCTATTAACAATTCTGGCAACACTAAACTTCTCTTCTATTTAAGTCTATAAGAGGTACCTATTATCCATTTGTCTCTGTGGTTACTGATGTACTTCAAGTGCACATATGAATGTATAGCCAGGGATAAGGGAAAAAAATATTCTAGATTTTTAGCATTCTCCTGTTGCTACTCACCAGGAGTTATATAACTTAAGACTAGGAATCTGCAGAGCTATAACTTTAAAGAACTAAATTTTAACCACCATTCAATTAAAGTTAGTACAATGACTTTGTGTAACACATACATGAAATAATTAGTGAAGATGGTTCTTAATTTAAAGGATGTTAAACAGCTTGTAGACATCTGGTAACAAGCTGAAATGGGTCATTCAAAATTTATCTAACTAAATTAAGGGGGAAAAATGTTTCTCCTCCCAGGTTGGCATGTCACAAGATAACTAAACCGACTTAGTAGGCTTGCCTGGGAATCCTTAGCTGTCAGTGGTGAATATGCAAAGGGCCAGCAAATTAAATCAACCTGCCAAACTGTCAATTTCAAGCCTCATGACTGCATGAAAATAGCATCACTGAAAGAAATCAAGCATTGCCTTCTTTTGGGTTTCCTGGCACCTATTCAAATACTCATGCAGTTGTGGCTAATTTTGCATGCAAATTTCAGTCAATAAGCTCAGAACAAGACCTCCCAAGATATTTCAAAGGATCTGACAGTATTTTTTCTGAATACCAAATCGACAGTAGTTGAAATTCAATCTCCATTTGCTGGTGCTTTACATATGCACAGTGTCCCCACCACAGAGCTAAATTAATGAGAGCCTTACCTGCTTTCACTCACATCCTCCCAGTCCTTGTCCTTGCTGAGGTTCTCAAACATATTGCTCATAACCTTGATGGAGTGATTGAGAACAGTGTGGTAACGACCCACAGAGCACTTTTTCTTGGCGGCTTTAAATTTAACCTTGGTAGTGGTTGTTTTACAATCATACTGCCCAGATCTCACTTCTGTGGTGGCCACCTCAGATTTAGCTTTGTCTATTGAATGCTGCAATTTCTCCATTGAATTCATCAGCTCTTCGTTTTCATTTTTCAGCCCATTAGCTTCTGCCACTTGTCTCCTTAGGGAAGTGACTTCTCTCTCCAGCTCACTGATTTTTACTTGAAGTTGAGCTTTGTCTTTTTCTACATCTTTACTCCCCTTTTGTAGCTGTTCTAGCTCTTTTTCTCTGTTCTCTGCCTCTTCTTGCTGCTGTTTTAAGAGCGATTTCAGGAAATCATTTTCTTTTGTTAATTTTTTATTCACTTCTTTTAATGTTCTCGACCTTTTCTCAAAAGATTTTAGCCGATTTTCCAATTCAATGACCTAAACAGAAGAGGTTCGTTTATTCTTTTAAAAGCCCAAACCATAATCCATTGTATTTAATTATCATTTCTTACTTAAGTAAATAAAATTTCATTAAGCAGGACAATATAAATCTAAAGTACTTAATTTCTAAAATTCTCAGGTATGTTCTAAAATGCAATACATTCTAAAATGTAATAATATATCTGTGGAATAAAGGACAGATGGTACAAGAAGTTAAAATTCTATACAAAGTGACACAGAAATAAGTATGCTAATGAATTTAGCAGAGCTTTCTGAGATCCTAAGTGCTTTGGCAATAAAGTCTACTTATTGTGAATAAAAAATTTTTCAGAGAAAAACAATTTACACAAAACATGAGAAACTTTATTACATAGAGAAACTTTATTAATAAAATAACATTTTTCTTCAATATTTATTAATCATATGAAAAACTGATGGCCTAAATATGAAATAATTATGAAGGATGCTTATTGCTAAACAGTCAGTTTACACAGTAAAAGAACATTTTACCAAAAAAAGCCTAACTTTATAATTATTTCAAGGTTGCATATGAATTAAATTTTTTCATATATTTCAATAAACAATGTTCATCGAAAAACACAAAAATGACAACATCCTGACCTTAAAAATTTCAAAAACTATTTGGAAAGACACTTGCATAAATAAATCTAATAAAGGATAGGACCTAAGTGCCATAAGTATGGGGAAAAAGAAAGAGCAATTAATTCTAAGCCTTGAATTCCAATGAGGAGTTGATTTCAATTTAAATCTTGAAAAATAATCACTATTGTTTGGAAAGTAAATTTTACCATTTATAAAAGAGATTTATACCATGACCTCTTCTGATTGTCTCAACATGTGAGATAAATAGAGCCAACAGTTATCTTCCCAGGAGAGGAAATGGAGGCTCTGAAAAGTTGAGTACCACAGAGGTAAATATTTTCTGGTTTAAACTGGGATTCAAATTCAGGATTTTTGCCCCTCCCACTGTTACACAAACCATATAGGGGAAGAAGAGTTACCCAGCTATATGGGGTAGGGTAAAAGTAGGCTTACAATTGTATGTGAAACACAGAGTTTATTCTTATATTATTTATTATTATATTATTTCCCATATGAACAACTGTAAACCTACTTTTGCCCCACCCTGTATATGGAAAATGAACAAAGAACTGGAGTCAAGAAAAAAACTGAGTTAAGCAAGAAACCTAAATAATTGAAAAATGGTATGAACCGATATTTACTTTTGGAACAATATTCTTCAAAGGAGAAAACAATAATATTCCAGAAATATACAAGATGAAACTTATGCACATTCTTAAAGCTTCCAGTTTACTGGGCTTTACTCATGATGGTGAAATTATTTCCTAAACATGAGTTTAAGTCATCTTTGATTTACCTATTCTTCTGTGGCTCCATTCCTCTCGTGAGTCCAACACCCTTCATTTAATTCAACCGTCATTCACTGTTTGGATACCCTGCCCTAGAATACCAATATTTCCTAATACAATATGTAGAATCTCAGTGAATGTTAATCACTTTTTTCCACAGTATGTTATACTCACCTACTATTGGACCTATGTAATTACAGGGCTTACTCTTAACCTGGAGTAGAGGTATATGAAAAAGTTTGTACCAGGCTATTATAGACCTCTAAATATTTCAGTAAAAAATAATTCTACTGTTCCTTCTCAATTCAAATACATAACTGAAGAGCTGGAAAATGTGACCAAAAATACATTGTTAAAAATACGTGAACTCAGGCTGAAACTTTTTTACTTCTTTCAAATCACTCTATCTCCAAATTTTATTTTCCATTTACTAAAAACTACTACAAACAATTAAGGAATGTCACTATTTACATCTCTTCAGTTTCTGTGGTCTTGAGTCACTGCCCAAAACAGTATACTTGTCATAAATATGTTTAAAAATATTTTAGTATGTTAGATTCCAGGGTGATGTAAGATAGACTGTATTTTTTAAAAGTATTTTATACAAATAATCAATTAAGCCTTTTTAAATAAAACCTGACTTTGACAGTGGTAGTATAAAACTATTAATTAAAAACAGTGTGGTCCAGTGGAAATTTAATTTTGAGTCCAGCCTGGGTCTCACTTCCTCCTGAGGTTGCTTTACCTGGCAAAATATTTAACCTACTTTACCTTTAGTTCTTCATCTGTGAAATGGGAATAATAACACCTCTCTGGCAGATTAAAAATATTACATATGACGATTTACCAAAAAGATGGCTCCTTTCCAAACAAAGTACATAACTTTGTGAAGTGTGTGTATTATGTACTTTGCTAGGGTGCCATGAAAAAGCACAACAAACTGGGTAGCTTAAACCCTAATAATTTCCCTTTGACTTAACTCATTAAAGACCCTCATCTCCAAATTCAGTTCATATTCTGAGATACTAGGGATTAGGACTTTGACATAAGAATGTGGGGGGACACAACTCATTCCATTACAGTGTGTGATGTTAATATATTGTTTTAAAATAACCTACTTATAGGTTTCATTTCTGCTATGCACAAATATTGATTTCATGTTTTTACACTCTTTTAAACCCATTTTGAATAAGTTTCATATAGGTTACGGAGAAGTGAAAAAATATTTTCCTCCCACCTTCTAAGTGCTTCCAGCTGGGCTAATGATCAAAAAGACACAGATGAACAGGAGAAAATCAAATTTTAATACTTGTGCATGGAGAATTAATTTACTTAGGTATGAAAATTCCAAAGACAGTAGGGCAAAATGAGTTATATGTGTCATTTTGGACAAAGGAGAAAGGCGGGAGGAGCTAGGGATTTCAAAGGGGAAATAGGTAATTCATAGGTAGCTGAGATAGTGGCAAAAACAATCTTGCCAGGCAACTGAGAAACAATGGGACAGAGGGAAATTTAGTGAACAGGGATTTGCATGGATCCCTCTTGACTACCATATTTAATTCATATGTGCTAAAGTGAATATGCTAAGATGCTTATGCTAGGGTTCCCTTCCTGAAACAGCTTTTTTCTATCTGAATCTCTTTAAGAAGAAAAGAGGGAGTAAAAGAACAAAAGCAAACTAACAAAAACTCTCTTCATGAGTTTGTTGGGCTTTAATTGATTTCAGCTTGAACTAATTTGCATTCCAGGATGGCACATTCCAGGGAGACCCCCACAACCTACATCCTTTTAAAATAAGGAAACTCAACTAAAAGGAGTTAAATCATGACTCATATAATTGCATTAGGTTAATATTTTTTTAAAGTGACAAATTAATATGTTAATTTGACATATTGTCCAATGAAATAATTCCAGTTGACTTTTTAGGACTTAAATGGATTTCTGAATACACTATGGTAGTAGTCATTTATGGCAGTTGGAATGAAATCGTGGATTTCTACCCCAAAGCAATAAGTAGTAGCATAGTACTTACTATATATATCCATAGAGATAAAAATTATGTAAAACCTGGCAAACAAAAATATAATTTTGAAATAAGAGGTAAGCTAGGATAAAGTATATAACATTCTAACTGGTAGTGTATACATTATTTCAAGTACTCATTTTACCATAAGATAAATAAATGTGAGCATTTCTTATTCTCTATTATTATTATTATTTTTTAAAATATAACTTTATTGACTTCAGAGAGAGGAAAGGAGGGGGAGAGAGAGAGATAGAAACATCAATGATGAGTCATTGATCGGCTGCAGCCTGCAACCCGGGCATGTGCCCTGACCGGGAATTGAACCCCGATCGCCTGGATCCTAGGTCAACGCTCAACCGCTGAGCCTCGCCCGGCCGGGCATCTTATTCTCTATTATTATGTTAACCTGATAATAGTCATTCAGTAATAATGAAATGACAGCCTTTGCTACCTGACCATATGTCAAGTGTTAGAAGTATAAGAAATCCCATCATCTGCTGTAAATCACTAGATTTCCTACAAGTCAATTCACAGGTGTAAGAAATGTAAGTAGCCACATTCATATTTTTGTGTATATATTTGTACAATTTCAGCTTTATCTAAGCATTGTGTAGCCAAGTGACAGTTACAAGAATAAACCTACTTAAAGAACATTTTGTTTTTAACAATAACTGCTAAAATGCAACCAACTCACTTAACTTGATAACAATATATTTATTCACAAAAATATAAATTAAGTATAAATTATAAATATAAATGTAAAGATTTTAAACATTTTACTATTAATGATAGGCATGATGTAAAGTAACTACAGGGTTTATTTACACAGATGATTCTATTAAAACAGGGATAACTATACTAAATCATATGGGTATAAATTTTCATCCAAAATGAGATGACTCATTATAGTACTGTTTTACTGTGCTGAAGCTAAAACTGTCTCATATTTTTAGTTCAAATATTGTAAATCTGTATGCTTGCTAAAGTGCAACGTACAGTCTCATATGTCCCATTTTAAAGTAAAACTGCCATGTTATAACTAATAAACACATAGTGCAAATTTTTGTAATTTCTATTGTTGTCATTCTCTTCCTTTCATCTTGGCAAATATTTTTAATCTATGTCAACAGAAGCACAAGTGTTTCCACATTTATTTCATGAACATTGATTTTTTTTTACCCCATTTTGGCAAGTCAATAATTTTGAATTATGAATTTAAATTAAGGATTCACACAAGGTTTAAGTTCATGTGCCCTAGTTTTAAAATATAATCCTTTATGTTAAAATTCAGATTTAACTTGCTCAGCTCAATATCTTACAGATTAGACTACCTTCTGTAATGTCCGCTCCGACATTTCTTTCCCATTCTTCTCTGGAGTACTCTTCCTGACCCCATCTTCTTCACCATATCTACAGAGTTGTTCTGGTAGAGAATAAATAATATTATGGTACCTCATATATTGCTAAAACCCTGTCCCGTAATTTTAAGGAAACGATTCCTACTGTTTCTCAATTATGAATAACCTAGTCTATTTTATTGTCAAGTATATGGCCAATAAATAAATGCTGACCTTTTTTAGGATTTTCAGTCACATAATTATATATCTTTGTAGTGTCATTTTTTTTTTTTTGCAGTGTAAGATTTTCAAAGGTACAACAGATCTGCGGGTTAACAATACTGTACTTTTATTCCTATTTTCATTCTTTTGTAGAGATTCCCCCTTTGCCTTAAAAGCGGAATTCATTGCCTTTTTATCTACACAAGTCACTACTAGTTTTGTTCTCTGGATCTTGTTCCCTGCCAGCAGGATCAGAGTGATTGCTGAACAAAGCAAACAGTAGCAGAATTAGGGTGAACTGAATTTGTAACATCCCCCACCACCCCTTTTTTTTTTGAGTAAAAGATCATGCATTGGGCAGAGTAAACCATAAATACCACATTTCCAGAAAAACTGTGACTTTATAACAAATAAAAACCCAGGTAATGGATGAAGTTATTTCTAGAAATCATTCCTATCCTTGCCATGCATTTGACTAATATACAAGCAACATAGTCGCTTTAATAAAAATCATAAAACTTCAGTTAATATTATTAAAATTAAAATACATTAAAACCTATAAATAGGTTTTCTTTTATCAGATAAGTAACTGTGACAAATTTAACATTTTCTTACTGAATTATTTTTGGGATAAAATATTTCTTAAACAATAAAAAAGGGGGCAAAAAAGAATGCATAAACCTAAAAGGAAACATATCTGTGATAGACTGAAATGATTTTGCTTTAAAGTATGCTTGGCTGCTGTAGGTCAGTGTAAAACTTTGATTTATCAACAAAGGAAAAGGAAAACAATATTATTCTCTGTAGAGTAGAAATCCTCTTGGTATAAACAGTGACTAACAAGTTTGTTAGAGTGAATTAGGCATTTCTTTTGTCTTTGAAACATGACATATCCAATTAAAACTTCTGTACTTATGAAATAAATAGAGCACTATCTTAAGGATAATAAAAACTAGAACAGGTAGAATTTGTCACCAGGGGAATATGTACCTTTACCTTGATAATAATCTATTGATTCCCAAGTTTATTTTTCTAGTCTCTTAACACCATGGTGCTAAATTCATTTACAACACTCTTTCAGCAATATAGAAATAATATGCAAATACAATTCATCTGTTCTAGCTATTTAAATATCCACTATAGTTCTAAGTGTGATAGTTACTCTCAAAAAGAAAATAGTTCTATACTCACAGAACATAGAGTGCTAGTAAGAACTAAATAACTCCATTAAAATAAAGGCTCCCTAAGATAAATTTAAAAATAAATCTGGTTGCTCCTTTGTGCTCTTGGTGAGCAAAGCCCACCAAGGAGTCTGGCTGACCATGTTCACTTGTGATTGTCTGCTAAAAAGTTTATTTCTCATATTCGTGGGCTTTATAAAGAATACTCAAGTAGCTAGGGCCAGGCATGGAGAAAAGCAAAAAACCAACACTTTGCCCCTTGATTCTTTTTCCTGTCAAGGATCTAAGGATTTGGAAAATGAACAAAGAGTAGTAGAAATATACACTTCTATTTTATTCCTAGGGTGGAAACCACCTTACTGGAGATTTATTTTTTAAAAAATTTTCTACGTTTTATTTTTACTACTATAAAAATTTATTCTGATTTATATTCTTTTACAGGAGCTCCATCTCTCTCTTCTTTTTTTTAACTTTTAACTTTGCTTGTTCGTAGTTGTTTAAATTTATTTTATTCTAGCTTCTATGTTTTTTCTTCTCTCTTAGTTCTTTTGGATTATGTTAGAAATTGATCTAAATTGGTTCGGTCAGGATGGTGGTAAATGTGGTACTCGCATCCTCCCACAGCCACATCAAAATTACAACTAAACTATAAAACAACTATCATTCAGAACCACCTGAAGTCTAGCTAAACAGAAGTCCTATAACTAAGTATATAAAGAAGAAGCTACATAGAGAATGGTAGGAGGGGCGAAGACTCAGAATAGGCTGGTCCCCTCATCTATGTGTGGTGGTTAAAAATCAGGAGGAAAATATAAGCTGCAGAGGCTCCCCTGAAGAGAGAGGGGTCACAGCCCTACACCAAGCCCCCTACCCTAGGGTTCCAGTGCCAGGAAGAGAAGTCCCATAACCTCTAGCTATGAAAACCAGGGGGATTGTAGCTGAGTGAGACAGGGCTACTGGAGTCCCAGGTACTCCTCTTAAAGGGCCTATGCACAGACTTACTGGGACTCATTTGCTCTGAGCCCCAGGGCTGGGGCAGCAGTTCAAAAGGCACCAGAGGCCTACAGAAAGGAACTGAATTGTCTGGCTTTGGGGTAAGGGCTGGAGAGGTAGCTTTTTCCCAGACATAAGTGCTGGCAGAGGCCATTGTTCCTTTGCTAAACCCTGACCCCCACAGAGTTGGCAGAGGGGCACCATATCTGTGTCCCCATCAACCAGGCTAACACTGTTCACCTCTGCCCTGGTGATTTCCTGAGATCCGCACCCCCAACTTTCGGGCCCACTCAGGTTGTTTCCAGTGACTTTTCCATACAAATGGCTTGTTGTGGCTTATGCTGCGGACTTTCCTAAAATTTCTGAAAGGTTCACAAACCCCGATCTGGCCTTGGCATGCCCCATACCTCTTTCTAAGTGGCATGCCTGGAACTAGCAGCAGCCTGCCTTGATTCACAGCTTAGACTTTCAAAGCCTAGCACAAGTAACAGCCATCTGCAGATAGCTGTGTAGCTCATGCTGGGTGGTTCCCTGACTGGGGATTGAGACCGCAACCCGGGCATGTGCCCCGATCAGGAATCAAACCTCGAACTCCTGGATCCTAGGTCAATGCTCAACAGCCACACCCGGCTGGGCAAAAATTATTTAAAAGGCTAATCTAAATTCATCTGCAACCTTTTCTCTTCCTTTGAGATTTTCTTTTAGCTATTTTAAAAATTAATTTTTAAATCCATTATCATTTATAAAAGGTGAAGAATATGCCATCTCAAAACATGCCACTATGGTATATTGATTATTTTGAACTGTAGGCACTTGAAAAATAGTAGTCATAGAGAAGGGCTTTTTCCAAACTCCCCTATGGAATTTCATCAACCAGGGAAAATTGACTCTTATCACAAGAGAGGAGACTAGAAGTGTCTACCACATCCAGACAAACTTTGTCACAAACTTCATACCTCTCATTTAATCTTCTAGGACCCATTCATCTTTCCTAAAATCATTTATTCACCCCTGAGAGGCCTACGTTCCTTCTTCATTCTGTATTAAGATGGTATTTAATCCTGAATTCTAAAGCCATTTCTTTGCCTTACTCTCTTTTCCCTTGGTATCTCCCATGTGTACATGAGGTATACATGTTAATAAACTCTTTCTTTTTCTCTTGTTAATCTGTCTTTTATTTCAGGGGTTTCAGCTAAGAACTCAGAAGGACAGAGGAACAATAAATTTTCCTCCTCTACAATTATTTTTTTATTAATCATATGATGCTTCCTGCACAGACATTCTTTTCTTTTTCTTTTTTAATCTTCACCTGAGGATTTTTATTGATTTTAGAGAAAGATGAGGGGAGATGGAGAGAGAGAGAGATGTCAATGAAAGAAAGAAACATCATTTGGTTGCCTCTTGTTTGCACCCTAACCAGGATGGGATCTGCAACCCAGGTATGTGCCCTGATTGAGAATCGAATCCTCAACCCTTTGGTGCACAGGATGACACTCAACCAACTGAGCCAGGCAAATCAGCCTGCTCACTCTAGATGAGTGACCTGAAAGAAAGACCACTAAAATTCTTAATTTTCAACTGGCAAATGAAGGTCCCTATACAAAAGCAAAAAACTTCTTAGTTTCTGCTGTTATTGCAAAGAACCAGGGCACCGGAAAAGAAAGTGTCACAAATTTAAGCACTTCAGACACCTTCAGCCTTCTAACCAGTCCTTCCAGTGTCCTAATTCCCACTGTCAGGAGTTGGAGAAACTAGAGGAGCTCCTCCAATCCTCCTCTTATTGGGCTCAGAGAAACAACTCTCCAGATTGAGAATGAATCTCTGTCTTTTTTTTTAACCCTCACCTGAGGATATTTTTGCCATGGCTTTTCAGAGAGAGTGGAAGGGGGGCTGGAGAGAAACATCAATGTGAGAGAGACACATCGATTGGTTGCCTCCTTCACATGCCCCAACTGGGGCTGGGGATCAAATCTGCCACTGAGGTGTGTGCCCTTGGCCAGAATCGAACCTGGACCTCAGGCTGATGCTCTAACCACTGAACCAAACCAGCAAGGGTTCTCTCTGTCTTTACTGGCACAGAAGCCACACTCTCAGTGGTCAACCCCACTGCTGTAAAGCAGCTCCTGGCTCAAAGTACTAAAATAGTTCAAATAGTGGGGATCTCTAATAAACCGCAACAGGTTCCTGTCTTTGAACCTAAAATCCCTTAAGAGATGCTCACCATTTTCTCTTTAGTTCCTCCACTCCTACTTATTTATTAGGACTTGTTATAACAGTATCATGCTGGAATTTCTTTCTACCAAAAGAGGTAAATCTACAATTTGACAGTAGCCATCAAATTAGCCAATCAGGTGAATTACATGACCCTTGGAAACTATATGCTCCATTTCTGACAGTACTATAGCTGAATCTGGGAGCACTGACCATTTGTCCCTAGTGGTTCAGCTGCCATCCCTCTGAATGGGCAAAATCTTTAACTAATATTGGTGGAATTCACAGTGCACCTCCTCCTATCAAGATTCAGATATAACCCTTACAATCTCTTTCTAGAATCAATCAATACCCCACAAGTAGAGGAGCCCTTCAAGGTATAAAGCACATAATAGCAGATTACAAAACTCAGGTCCTCATTATCCCTTGCACTAGTTCCCGTAATACTCCTCTTTTACCTGTGAGAAAACCCAAGGGTG